ACCCAGAAATATTACCTCAGGTTAATAACTTTGCTTCAGGATAAGAACAGAAATCGTGCTCCAGCGGCAGCAGGAGGCCCCATTAGCTAAAGTGGTGCTTCAGGTTAAGAACAGTTTCAAGTTAAGTACAGACCTCCAGAACGAATTAAGTACTTAACCCGAGGTACCACTGTATAGAGAATTTTTGACTCTGAATTCCTGATCTTACCTTCTACACTCTCTGTAGATTAGAATGTGTGTTACTTCAAAACGTAGTCTGCTGCTGTTGAGAAAGCTTCTGTTCATTCTGTAGAGTGGGGTCCTGGACTTCTGCCACAAAGTCCTGCCATAATTGCACCACTGGTTATAGATAGGTATGACAACTTATTGTGATGTTAGGAACGTAAGAAACTGCCATATACCATCTCAAACTTTTTGTTTATACTGTATAGCACAGGATCTCAGGCAGGGGTATTTCTTGTCACCTGCTCCCAGATATTTCTAACTGGAGATGCCAGGATTTGACCCTGTGACTTCTGTATGCAACCCATATACCCTACCATTGAGCAACAGGCTTTTGAATAAGATGAAATAATTTTCTAAATGTTCTATTTTCACTTCTCTGGTTACACTGTGAAGTTCTCTTGTGTAACCTTTTTTTCTTTTCTAAAGTTGTTGCTGTTTTCTTGTTGTCTGATCTTATGGTGTTTAGTGTCACTGGCTTTGGCCGCAATAAACTTGAAACTTGAAACTTCTCTGGTTATATTCTGATTAGGAATCAATTCTAAAGTTATGTGGTTTTGTTTTTTCTTCACAGTAGGCTTAGCTGCCAAGGCAGATCTGCCACTAGAAACTGGAAACAGTAAGGCCCTGAATATCACCTGAAGAGTGTAAAGAGGCAATCTGAGGCCCTAAATTTGGATGGGTTCATTTCTCTCCTAATTGAGAGAGATTCCTGGACTAGAGGGACGTTTGTTGTGTTCCATCAACTTTGATGGTCACATCATCATCTCCTACACTACTGCATCCCTGATGAACAAGCAGCTTTAAAATTACAATTCTTTACTGAATTTGAGTGAAAAGCACAGAACACTTTCTATCAAGCAACCAATATTCACAATGGGAGGCAGCTGCCTCACCTAACAATAATGGGGCATTTTTTATGTCATACATATGACAGACATAAAAGGCAGAAATGCAGTGTTAAGACCTGAATGCGTTAGAGAGAGAGAAAAACTAGTGATAGCTCTTGTTACATAGTGTGTTTCTGTGTCTCGTGCAATATTTTTGGGGAAATAAATTCTCCTTTACCCAATAAAACATTTTTGTCCATTTTTATGACGATGTTTCAATATTGATCTTGCTAAGAGCTTCACAAGTTTATTGGGCTCCTGTGGAAATTTATGTATTAATGAGAATGAGAATCTAAATTTGATTCCACTGTTGCTCTGCAGAAAATCCAAGTGAATTTGCTGTACTGTATTTAATTTGTGTGTGAGGGGGGGAGGGTGTCCGACAAACAGATACTCCACCTCTCAGAGCACTTCAGTTTAAGTCAGTGGGACAAAATTGGCTCAGATCAAAGAACTTCTAATCAGACTCTGGAGTCTTAATACAAAATAACACCTGTGTGCTGCCCTAGCGCTTTTTGGCTCAGTGCATCTATATGAATACACCCTCCACCAGTTGTGTGACTGATATTCATTAGAGAACTTCCCAGGATTCAACAGTGGCTTTTGATTAAGTGTGCAGGCTGTGCGTATCTTCTACATGCCATGCAAAAAAAAACAAGCCATTCTGCATTAAGAAGCATTGTGCTCCTTTAGAGTTTAGCCACTGACTCATTTTATGTAAAACCAAGCCGAAAACTTTCATATTCACTTTCCGTCACTTACTTAGATTGACCTCTGTGCCTTTAAGATATATTGACATTTATCTCTCTATTACTTCTAAACCTGAATAATGCATTCATGTTCTCTTCTGCCAGAGACCTGAGTCCAGAGATTTCAATTAATGCAAAATGCTATTGCTACATTTATTGCTTGCCCCCCCCCCCCCCCGCTCACAATGTGTTCTTGCTGTTCTCAAGTCATACATTGACTTCTGGTTCACGCTTATATTGATCTGAAGATTTTTCACTTGAGTTACAATAAAGAGCCCTGCAGGATCTTCAAACATTTTCTATTTGCATGATTTTCCTTGCCAGCCTATTTCCTCAGTCCCATTTTTCGGGCACTTCTTCACATTCATATTTGGCACCTGGCACCCGCTTTTAGGTTCCTATGTTGAGCTCTGTAATGAAACCTCTTTTTTACTATTTTTTACAAGCTTCCCATTCACAACCTCAAGGCATCAAACTAAGTTCAGGTTAAAATAATATTAGTTACACTAGGATAAGGGCAACTTTATTTCTAGATGGGCCCAAAAGCTTTTTTAAAATTAATAATATAGCTGTATAGCAGAAAGTGATTATTATTTGTAATTGCTTGATATAGTTTCATCATTCTCCTGAAAATTCACATTATGCTCACAAAAAATGTCCAGACTTTCCCAAGACTTTAATAAAACTTAGCTGATGTTACTTTACATCACATGCTATAATCTCCTTCCTTTGGGCTTAGGTTAAGAGTCACATGGGGAGGGATGCACCAAACAGGCTTTTAATATGAGGAAAGCTTACTGGGCTTTTTAATATGAGGAAAGCCTACTGGGTCATTGTGATGGCTTGTGAACGCTCTCCGCAAAAAATGCCTCTGCTCACTCAGACATACATATATACAGTCTTTATTTTACATATGTACAAGCAGCACATTACAATCATGCATCTGAATCCTCCGGCTCAGATTCTGGGAGTGCCTTACGCCCGCCCCGTCTCCAACAGAAAAGACGTGGAATTTTCATGTGATGTCTCTGTCCCCTCCTCTTTAACACTCTCCTTTCCTTGGCAGATGGAACAGGCATTGCTTCACTGTCTGTGCCAGAACTTCCTGTGCGGTGTTGAGACTTGCAGTGCGGTTCTTTCCTCCACCGCCACTTCCTGCCCCCCTTCCTCTGCCTGTCTCTCCTCCTCCCCTTCATTCTCCATAAATACCATGACAGTCATGCCAGGGGCAAATCTAGTCCAGCATCCTGTTCTCATAGTGGCCAATCAGATGCCTCTGTGAAACCCAGAAGCATGACCTGAGTGCGACATCAGACATCACATTCTCCTCCTATGGTTTCCAGCATACTGCCTCCCGCAATGCATGTAGTACTAAGCCTTCCGGGTTAGTAGCCATTGATAGTTTCAGGACTGGTACAGCCACCTGCCCTGCTGCCTTTGCCATTGGCAGAGAAGCAGCGCCAGCATTGGTGCCAATTTCAGCAAAGATCAAGCCAATTATGGGTGAGATCTCACCAGAATCATGAGAGATCTTGCAGAGTACACGAGGTTTCACAAAATCAGTGTTGGTGATGCAGGCAGTGGCAGCCATGGTAGGGGAGCACTTCTCAATTTGCCTCAAGTGGCAAAATGGGAAGCACTGGCCCTGTATAGCCTAATTCTCCATGTTAAGGACTACTAGGAAGGGTCTTAGGAGAGGACATGGGAGGACATGGCAGCTCTGTAAGCCTTGCCCTGAGATGATAGGAAGTTCCAGAAGTGGTATATTTGTAGAGTTGGGATGAAGGCGAGGAGTTAGCATCTTCAAGCCAAGACCTTACTGGGATAGTGGAAAGTTGAGGGCACAGGGTGTCTGCTTGTTTGTCCTAAGATAGGATAGAAGAGGGAGGATAGTGACTGCAGGGCTAATGCTTGAGATGAAAGATGGTGCTATGGCTGAGTGAGGCAATCCAATGTTGGTCAGTTGCCATCATATTGCATCCAGTTCTTTGGGCAAGTAATCACCATAAAAAGAAATGCGATTTTGCTATTCAGATTGTTTTAACGATTTCTTTATTCTATTCATTGTACTTTGAGATCTTTTTGTTGTATTAATATGCTGTTCACCACTTTGGGCAACTGTGAGTAAAAAGAAGCAATACGTAAATAGTACCTTCACAGAAACACGGACTTTGAGAAGGTGCTTTGAAGAGACTGAGGCTTCCGTATCAACTAGCAATCACTTCTTAGTGAGCTCCAGTTCTATTAGATGCAGGGCAACATTGGGATTCACATGGTAAATCTTGGGCTAGATCCAATCTGAAGTCTCTGGAGACCAGTAGGGTTCATACAGAGGGCTGGTAAAGTGGTAGTCACCAGTAGATTTCAGTAAGATATCAATTCAATTATATTGAAATCAAAATCTCCAAATCCACAGTTAAAAGTGGCTATTAGAAGCATCCCTAAGTCATTGTCCTTTGAACTAATGGTTTTAAATTATCTCCTATTTACAGAAGATAGCTGGAATACTAAGGCACCAAACTGAGTGGTTAAGAGGAAAATAATTCCTAATAGCTGGAATATCAGATATCTAAGAACTGGTTCCTATGGGACCTTCTGTGTTTCAGAATGAATACTTGAGAAGCAAACAAATAAATAGTCAAAAGTGTGTTGAATGGTTTAATATGTAAAGGTTCATCATTGTTCCACTCGATGTGTATGTCTTTAAGGGGCCAGAGAAAGGGCCAGAGCAAAATAACGAGACCCAGCTTTACAGCTGTGAAACATAGCAGGTGCTGCTGAGTTGTATTGATTAAGCTGTGTTGGTAATTGGGTGTAGTATATAAGGAGCAGCACCTAGCTCTCCCATTACCCTGGGGGATGGGTTGGTGGTTGGGTCATGTTTGTTTGTTAATGTATTTAGTGTAAAAGGAGTTTTTGTTTTTCTTATTAAAACCTTGTTTAAGTTATTTTTGAGTCCCTTTTTAATGCATGGTCTCCCCAGCAAGCTCTCTGCAGCGCTACCATACTGCAAAAAGCCAACATCTTTGGTTATGGGCCCAGCTGCTGAGTGGATGACTGCATATTTTTGGACTCTGAGAAAGGTTTGAAAACTCCTTCTCCTGTTAGCGTAGTTCTGTGGGTCTGGAAGAGTTCCAGAATGGTTGACCGGGTTCCTGAAGCTGAGAAGGCTCTGGTCTTCCCACAGCTGACAGATGAGAACTATAGTTTATGGTCTTTTCGGGTGGAGGCGCTTTTGACCTCTAGAGAAGTATGGACCTATGTAACTGATGACCCTCCTGACCCTGTGACTAATGCTTGGTCGAAAGGAGATGCGAAAGCCAGGGCGATAATTAATTTGGCAGTCAGCGACCAGCAAGTAGTCTATATAAGAAATAAGAAAACTGCCAAAGAAATGTGGGACAGTCTTGCAGCAGTGCATGTTAGAAAAGAGTCAGCGTCTGCATTGACGGTTTTCAAGCAGTTGTACCAGACGAAGTTGCAGCCTGGTGGTGATTTGGCAGCACACTTGAGACGTCTGGAGGCAATACGCGGCGAATTAATTCGAAGGGACATGGAGATACCTGATATTCAGTATGTTTTCATCATCCTTTGTTCCCTTAATGAGGACTTTGATGGTATAGCTAGCCAGATATCTGCCGTTCCACCAGCACAATTAACTGTGGAAGGGGTAACGGCAAGATTAATGGGCGAGTTGGACAGAAGGGAGGCTTGTGCCATAAGCACTCCTATTTCCAGAAAGAATGAGGAACGCCATATGCAAACTTGTGGTGATACAACTGCATTTAAAGCTGCAAAGCGTTGTTGGTTCTGCAATAAGCAAGGACATTTTGCAAAGGACTGCAGATCCAAAAGAAAGCAAAGTACTCCCAAGTCTGTTTCTGTTCGTCAGTCACGGTCGTCAGCTCAGCAGCCGGCATCGTACCGTAAAGACAGAAACGAGCCGCGAGCTTTTCACGCTAGCACAAGAGATCGTAAAAGAATTAAAGGTGCCAAGTGGAATTCTTTTATTGTGGACTCAGGAGCATCTCAGCACGTTTGCAACGATCGAAGCTTGTTTATTTCTTTCGAAGAGGAAATTGGTAATGTACATTTAGCCAATTCACAAGTCTTGCAGTCGCTTGGCAGGGGTACTGTTAAACTTGACTCTTTAAACATTACTATAGCGAACTGCATTTACTGCCCATCAGTGGACAATTTATTGTCAGTAAGGTGTTTTGCTCGTCAAGGCATAACTGTGCGTTTCTTAAAGTCAATGTGTGAGTTTTTCGAGGGGAACAAACGTCTATTGTATGCCCGGGAATCTGATGGTTTATATAGACTGTATTTTCGCACCTACTCCCAATCGCCTATAAATTGCAGAGCAGCACAGTCAAGCCAGGGGTTGAGGAATGTAAGGCCACATTCTGGGTGTGTCCATGAGGCGCACAGAATTCTGGGACATCTGAATTTTGCTGATGTAATTAAGACCAAGAATATTGTTAATGGCCTCAACTTAAAACCATGTAAATTCTTTATGCAATGTCTATCCTGTTGCAAGAATAAGATTAAGGTTGCACGCAAGGGTAGGTGCTCAGATAGGAAAGTAACTGAGCCATTTGAGCGTGTACATTGTGATTTAGTTGGGCCACTCCCACCATCCTTAGGAGGTTCTAAGTACTGGCTTACCCTGATAGACCAGTATAGTAGATATTGTTGGACTTATGCAATAGCTGAGAAGTCCCAAGCATTTGAGAAGTACAAAGTTTTTGCAACTGGGTAAAAACACATTTTAACAAACCTATTAAGAACCTTTTTTCTGACAGGGGCGGGAATTTGTTTCTGAGGATTTTGAGAAATTCCTGGAAGCGCAGGGGACTACTCATGAGTTATCTTGCCCCCGAAGTCCCTGGCAAAATGGGCTTGTTGAAGTTGTGCAGCGTGACCTGCAGGCAGGGGTTAAAACTTATCTGCATGATGCTAATCTGCCCAAAGACTTTTGGGCTGAAGCGCTCAATGCCTTTTGTTATGTTAGAAATCGCAGTTATCATTCTGGTTTAGATGTCACCCCTATGAGAAGCTGTTTAAAAACGCCCTAATCTGAAATACCTACGCATTTGGGGTTCAGATGTAATAATGCATTATCCCGCTAAGCAGAAATTGGGTGAACGTAGTGTCCAGGGAAAATTAATGGGCTACCAGCAGGGGGCGTACAGAATTTACATACCAGCAACTGGCAAATTTCATATTACCAGAAGCATGATACAAACTGTAAATTGGAATGGTGTTGCTGTTTTCCAAGATAGTAATGGTATAGATAATACTGAGGAAGAAGAGGTAGAAGAAGCAGCAGCAGCAGCAGGAAATGGTGCTTCTGAATTAATGGAAGAAGACAAAAAGCCTGTTGAATCTGATAATTTCTTTGATGATTTAAAGTCACAGGCACCCGAGGGGAGGTTAGATTCTCTTGAGTTTTCTGACCGTGAGCTTAGCCAACAGGCATCTCTTCAGTCTGACAATGATGATTTACAACCTGAAACTAGTAGTTTACATAGTCCCATTAAGTCTGAGGAGTCTGACTCTCCTTCCGGACTGAGACGTTCAGATAGAAAGAGACAGAAGCCACAACGTTTTGCAGATGAACATTTTAATACTGTGTATGCCAATAAGGCAGTTTTTGAGCCAAAAAGCTACAATGATGTTCAGAATTTACCTAAGCACCAAGCTGTAAATTGGTATAAAGCTATGAACTCTGAAATAGCTTCTTTAAAAGAGCATAACACTTGGTCTCTTGTACCACAAACCCCAGATATGAGACTTATTGATTCAAAATGGGTTTATAGAGTTAAAATGAATGACAAAAATGAAGTTGTAAGGTACAAGGCAAGATTAGTTGCTAGGGGTTTTCAACAAATTCCAGGCGAAGATTATGATTTGTGTTATTCACCAAGTGTAAAATATGAAACAGTTAAGCTTTTGTTAAAAGATGCATCACAACGTGGACATTCTGTTTATCACCTAGATATAAAAACTGCATATTTGTTTGCAGATTTAAAAGAACAAATTTTTATGCGTGTCCCTGAAGGCATAGACGCCGCTGAAGGTTTGGTATGCAAATTAAATAAATCCCTTTATGGTCTGCACCAAAGTGGAAGGAATTGGCATCAAACTTTAGCAAAAGAATTGCTGGATATTGGTTTTTCACAGGGAAAGGCAGACAATTGTGTGTTTATAAAGGAAAGGGCAAACTCTGTAGCAAAAATATGTGTCTATGTAGATGACGTGTTAATTTCTACAAAAACTAAACAGGAATATGAACAGGTAGTAACACAGTTACAGAAGAAATTTGATGTGGTGGAATTAGGCATAGCTAAAAATTACTTATCCATGCAAATTGAGAAAGGCAAAAATGGATCTTTTCTGGTTCATCAAACTGCAAAAATTGACGATCTTGTTGAAATGCTATGTTTAGAAAATGCAAATGGGAAGGAAACGCCCATGGTGTGTGGTTTCACTTTTACAGGTGAAGATAAGCCATTTCCTAACAAAACTTTGTATCGTTCTGCTATAGGCAAGCTAAATTTCATTCAAAGAATCTCAAGACCAGATATAACTTATGCCTTTCACTTTCTGGCAAAATTTGTGGAAAAGCCCACTACACAATGTTTCTCTGCTCTTAAGAGAGTGGTAATGTACCTTAAACATACCAAACATTATAGGTTGCAGTTTACAACATGTATTGACAAAGGTTTTGAAATTTTCTGTGATGCATCTCATGCAGTGGAACAAAATAATTGCAGGGGTGTGTCTGGTATGGTGTTTTGTTATAATGGTTGTCCATTTGAATGGAAGTCCCAGACACAAACCATTATTTGTCTCTCCACAACAGAGAGTGAATTATGTGCATGTGTTCAGGCCACTCGTGATGTGGAATGGTATCTGCAAGTATTCGCAGACCTACAGATGCAAGTAACACTACCAGTAAAAGTTTACCTTGATTCCCAGAGTGGACTCGCTATCCTATGTTCAGAAACCAATACGCAGCGCACTAAAGTCTTAAGATTACGTTTACAGTTTGTAAAGAAACTAATTGCTGATGAAATGGTTGTATTTAAATATGTTCCAGGTGACAATCAAATTGCAGACATTTTTACTAAAGCACTTCCAAAAGGTATACATGAAAAACATGTACAAAGTATGCTTTATGTTTTTGTTCCACAATGATGAACCGCAGGGGAAATGTTGAATGGTTTAATATGTAAAGGTTCATCATTGTTCCACTCGATGTGTATGTCTTTAAGGGGCCAGAGAAAGGGCCAGAGCAAAATAACGAGACCCAGCTTTACAGCTGTGAAACATAGCAGGTGCTGCTGAGTTGTATTGATTAAGCTGTGTTGGTAATTGGGTGTAGTATATAAGGAGCAGCACCTAGCTCTCCCATTACCCTGGGGGATGGGTTGGTGGTTGGGTCATGTTTGTTTGTTAATGTATTTAGTGTAAAAGGAGTTTTTGTTTTTCTTATTAAAACCTTGTTTAAGTTATTTTTGAGTCCCTTTTTAATGCATGGTCTCCCCAGCAAGCTCTCTGCAGCGCTACCATACTGCAAAAAGCCAACAAAGTGAGCCGTGTCTGCATAGATTATATATCTTCCTCCTTAAATTATTATTATTATTTATTGAATTTATATACCGCCCTAAACCTGGAGGTCTCAGGGTGGTTGACAAAACAAAACCACATACACACACACACACCTGAGTACATAACATCTCATAACAACCAGCCCTAAGATCTTTTTCTCCTTTAGCAGGTTAGGCATTTCACAGCCACTTGAAAATGTCGCTCTCACCTCTAACATACATTACTAAATCTCATGTAATGATGTCACAATCCCCTTAAAAACTGCAGTTAAAATGTACCATTTGTCTTCTTCGTTTTCTCTACTTTTAAACCCAGCTTTCATGCAGACTTTCTCCATTGTGCTTTGCTTTCTGAAGAAGATGATATATATTTTCGTGAACTAGAGCTACTTCATCAGGAAGTTCATGCAATAATAAATGTTTTAGTCTTAAATGTACCCCAAGGCCTCAGCTTTTTTGCAACAACATAGGAAAATACTCCTATAGAAATTTTCTAAATGGAGAGTATGCTTGGTTTTCTGATCCTTTTTCCTCATTTCCTCCCTCTCCTTCTCCTTTGGCACCATGTTTTTCTTTTCATCTTTTTCTTCCTTGATGAAATAGGTGACTGATCCTAGAAAAAATAAAAATAAAAAATCAGTCAAGAATGATTCCTAGAGTATAGACAACCCTCAGTTGGGAATCACACAGTCAAGGGATTGACATCATGACACCATACAGCCAATCAGATTTGACTACATGCTGATCACTGTGATAGGACTCCTTCCCTTTTCAGTGTTATTTCAGTTGCTGGGAGAAGCGACAATTCATGGGAAGTATTTATTTAGTTGCTTATTCAATTTCTATCCTGACCTTCATTCCAAAGGAGCCCAGGGTAGTAAACAGCAAAGTAATAACACAACACAATAAACATTACAATAAAAACACATTCAATCCATTATTAAAACAATTGAGAACATTAAAAAAATAAAACATGAAAAACATCTGCAAAACATTTAAAAATTGGGTCCTCCCTTAAAGAGGGCACATATTGCAGTGAGACCCAGAAAACCAACACCCTGTGTTGTGGGTGGGTACGATTGGTCAGCCACAACACCCGATTGGTAGGTCCCTCAAAGCTGGGTGCAATCTGGCCAATGGGATGCAGTCCAAACAGTTCGAGGGACCTATTTATGCCCATGCACATGACCCAGAGCTTCCTCTTTCGGCTCGTGCATTCGGAACACCCGCCCACCTCTCCCTACTTTTAGGGCTTGTGCTTGACCTTGCTATGCCTTCGTATGTTGTCTGTCATTGGGACAGGGTCACGGCAGGAATTCTCCCCACTTGGCTGATTGGCTGTTGCCATTTGGGTTTTGCCTGCCGCGTAGCAAATCGTCACAATTTGTAAGGTTGTGGATAGGCTCTGGTTCAGGTGACAGAGATGGGAGAACGCTCTCGCCATCCCTATGTGAAGGGCATTCCGTTAAAGGAATCCAGGGACTCAATGGTTTGGTCAACCCCTGAGAGGGGGTTGTGCCCGTGCCTGAGTCCAGGGGGACACTTGGGTGGCGGAGTTAGCCCATTCCTGGCTTTCTGCTTATCCAGGTTTCACCCTTGGCTGACCTATGCTGGAACCCTGGGTCAGCGCTACCTGCATGGCAGAGAGCTAGTCAAACCAGAGCCTATGCAACCAGTCACTTTCTGTAATCAATAAAGTTGTGGCCTAAATTCTGCCAAAAACCAAACCAAAATTTGAGTCATGTGTGAATTTATTTGGGGGGGGGGAGTTTTCTGGGTCTGAACACGAAAAGCAGTGGCATCTCTGACATTTTCTCACATTTTGGACATTCAAAGAACGGAGCCTTAAGGATGCTGCTGAGATCATTTTGGAAGGAGATCATTTTGGAGGGCATGGTTGCTAAGCATCAGACAGACCACAGGTTCCCAGTCCCACATTTCCATAAACCATATACATTGTGTGATTGCCATTCCTCCAGTTCTGCACACAAATGTACAACAGAGTAAGACCGCAAAGTTGTAGTCTGGTTATTTCCACAATCTAAATGCAATAGTACTAATGCTACCACTTCTACCACTACTACTCTTAATGATAAGAATAATAACAACTATGTTCCTTCTGCTGACACTTCTGTTTTTCATTTCC